ACGTAGCGAAAAGAAGAAACGACTGGCGCGCTGTTGTTAACTCGGCTATAATCGCGTAAGCGGTGTCTACGCCAATCAAGAAGAAGAAGAACATATGTATATATAGCAGTATTTGAGTTGAAAATCTCTCACTGAGATTTTTAAGGAATTCTCTTCAAGAATACGCAAAACCTAAAACTGTGTCATAAACGGTTCAAAAGCTATGTTATATTTAATTAAAAAATGTCCTTAGGTTCTATTTCCAATGTTTCCTTCAATGTTGTTATAGAATATAATAGCTTTGTTTACCTAAAACTATTCGAGATGGATATGGAGTTAGTGAGAGTATGTCAGTGTATTCGTGCAAGATGTAATTTAAGTAAAAATGAAGATATCTTGAGGAAACTCTGTATACGGTATAATTTTATGTTACCCTAGTTGGGCTAGCAGAGGGCTGGAATCGGACCACAATACGTCATTAATCCATAACTCCTAAACCATGCTATGATAACCAAATTCGCTTAGGGCACCGCTACCCATCCTGTGAAAATGTTTACATTCGGATCACAAGGTATTTTCCAAAGTAAACACAGCTTTTTGAATCTAGCGCCCCTGGTGGCGCCATCTATATCTCGACTGATGCGTTGGAATATGCTCTTTTTATCGATTGTCCAGTGAGAATCTCATGACATTTCATTGATTGGAAGTGAAGTTAGTGAAGTCAGTATGTTTCTATTATCGGTGCGAAAATGAGATTCGTATAAAGAGTCAACATTAATTTTTTTTTAATTGTTAAAACTCTTACCGAAAAGTTTCAATGGATGAAACAAGTTTATGGCGATGATTGCCTATCCCGTAGCAGAGTGAACGAGTGGTTTCATCGTTTTCGAAGTGGTCGTGAGGACATTAATGACGATCAACATGTGGGCCAATCAAAATTCGTAATCCCTGGAAATTCCATCAAGACTGTGCATGAATTCATCAAAAATCAGCCGAAATCGTCATTGAAATTCATGGAAATGAAATGGAACATCTTCACAACATCGATTTATCGCAATTTGACCGAACCTTTTGGGCTAACGAAAGGTGTGTGCACGGTTTGTTCCACACAAATTGGCTGAAGACAAAAAATTACTCAGAATTCAACATTCGAAGGACGCTTATTTGACCAAATATCACATTTTAACCATTAACCACTCCCCGTATTCACCTGATATGGCACCGTGCGATTTCTTCCTTTTCGGAAAAATGCATTTGCCCATGAAGGGAAAGTGTTATGCAGACCTAGAAGCCATTTAAAAGACTTGCACCGGCATTCTGGCGGCTATGCCGGCCAACGAGGAGGTAAAACACTCATTCTATTTACTTTGGAACACACTTTGTATAACTAATATCAGGATTTTCGAACATCCGGCGGACTTTACTATATATGATTGGTTTTACACCTTAAAGTCTTTGATTGTTGTAAGTTGCAAGAATGTAAAATATTAGGTTGCACCCGAACTTAGCCCTTCCTTGTTTGTTTTCTATTTATTCTATTACAAATTATGGCCACCTTCAACAGACCGATATTGTTTTTAAATTTTTAAAATTCCATAAACTTCTTATTTATAACTTTGTAAACAAACATAATGTCCCTTCGGAATAAAAAAATTGTTAATTCTGATTTCAACATAATGAATATGGGTACGCAAGTTATCCTTAGCATAAAGAGGACTGATATATGTATGTACATACCTATATCGTTTCCGACCTCAGATATGTTATAGGCCCAAGTTAGACAATGATCCATCGGCAGATCCCTTTCTGCTGCTTGGCCTGTAAATTCTGTGCAGCTTGATGTATCTTGCTTAACTACGAACCCTACATTCCAATGACAGCGTTTTGAGTTTGTGCGGATGCAGTGATCATCTATCATCATCTCTGTTTAAAATTTCGTTTTCTTTAATATAAGTTTCTTTTTTAATTCTACAGATGAAGATTTGGGTGAGGATTATCCAGAAATGCGCGAGGAAGTACACCTTGAGGACTTCTTTTGGACTGGTTCTGGTGATGGTCCACCTGACTATCTAAAGAAAGTGCACACTGGCATTAGTAAGGGCAAAGACGTGATTGTCAAAACGGAGACCGTTGTTGCGACAGTTTATGTGGACGGCAATAATGTAAACATATGGTTTATTGTTAAATAAGTACTTATATGATAAATTTTTTGTTATAGGAAATTGATATACCGATATGCTTGGATTGTCCGCCAGACGATGGCGGCGGTACTTGGGACGTTGGCGCGATGCCACCACTTAATTATTCAGCGACAGATCGAAGATATTGGCTGCTCACAGTGATGTCGGGGTTTTATTCACAAAAAGATAATCCGCTTTTGGAGGAGAAGTTGGCGCGATTATATCGATTGGCTTTTACGAGGTATTTATGATATAAAAAGTCTTATAATTAGTCTTAGGCGGTAGCCAAATGCACTATTTGTCGCAAGTTCCTATTTAATTAAGACAATCCTTCTAGGCCTTCACGAGTTCCGGGGTATACAATTTAAGATCTGGCAATCCTTTGATATTTTTCTATAATTTATTCTAACAGGCAACAGTCGAAGCATTTAGGCATCAATGGTGCACAGCAGATTGCAGGAATTGCGGTGTCGGCTGGGAGAAATAGGCGTGGTCAACATGAGACCGACATACATACTCTAGAACTCACAACGCCTAAAGGTCTGAAATCGCATATTGGAAATGACTGCTTGAAAATATGAATATTCCATTATTCTCTTATAGATCTCGACGACGACGCCGAAATGCTTGACATGATCGGTGGTGCTACACCAGCCAATACTCACTTGATTCAGCCGAAACGTAAAGCAAATAGAGATACTGAGTGGGAAACGTCTTCGGAGGAAATCGAAAACAATTTCTCTTCTACCAGCACGACCGCTTCCGATGAAGTCACCACGTCCACAACTTCGTACACGGGAGCTACACGCGAAAGATTGGAAAGCACCACACAATTGCCGCACATGACTATGGTGCCATGGGAGTTGATACAGGAGGATGCAAAATCAGAGAAACTCAAAGCGGCAGCGGCACTCTTGAACACACAGGCTTCACTGGTACCGTTACAACCGCAGATTCCACTGCTGCGTAATGCACAAGTTCGTGTGGTTATCCATAATATCACACGGATTACTGAGGACGAGGTGCAGAAGGGCATACATAGCATAGGCTCGTATGATGAAGATATCAATGAGAAGATGTGAGTACTTGGGCTGTGCAAATTGTTGAAGTTAGGTCACATTTGAGTTTGTAACTTTCCAGCGATGAGCGTCCCATTGCAAATCAAACTGAGCTCATCTACTCCGTATTTGTCAACGGGCGTCCCGTGTTGGCAGTAACGGCAGCCAACGATATGAAACTGGTGTCTGAAACAGAAGCGTCGAATGTCATTGGGCAGGAGGTCTACATGAAGTCCGAACGTATGCAAAGTTTAGCAGTTTTTAAATTAAGATTATAATTAATTAAATTCTAACCTATAAAATATTCAATATCCACAGCTTATTTGCGCGAGCCACAGGCGACACCATTGGCGCCTGCAATACGCAGCGGTCAATCGGGTTTCATAGACTCCATACAAAACAACACCGCCTTGGTGGTGGTGACTTCGCTTGCGATCTTACTGCTGCTGCTTTTGCTCATCGCATTGTTGTTAATGGGTCGATCGCGTGTGCGTGAAAAACAGCGGTTAGAGGAACAAAGGTATACTTATGGAATTAATCGAAACCTTGAAATTCTCGCATAATTGTCTATAACTTACTGCACAGAACGACCAGCCGTAATGAGCTCTTAGCTGAACTGCAATCTGGACGCGGCGCTTCCACAGAAACCGGCTTAGACACCGGTCGAACAACAACGCACTCCCGTGATATTGGCGTACAGAACTTCTCATTCGAGCACGATGGCACACATCATGGACGCGAACCACGAATTAACTTTCCAAGTCCGCCGGCAGAACGTGAATACCGTCGGGATTCACTTAGTTCATCGGACAATACATCTGACTCTTCAGTCTATTGTCCTATTAATCCGCCAGCGCCGGATGTTCAACGTATACTTGATGATAAGGCTGCGGCCTTATTCGATAAACATCGTCGTAGGCATGCGCAACATGATTACGATCAGGCTGAGGGACATGAGAACGCTGTATACACTACTGTCATTACGGACAAAAAGCATGACAAGACACGCCGCAAAAACAAGCGACGTTATCTCTCTGAGAATCGCGTCGGTTCTCTAGAGACCAGTCCACGCACACACCATGCGGCTCAGTCTTCGGGTGATGAGGTGATTAGCGGCTCTTTGGATGAGGAGCAATTGAGTCCCACATATGCGAATTTCGAAAGGAATGAGGCATTTAATCCGCACAACAATTATCATCGCAACAAACTTTTACATCAGAAGAGCGTTTTCGGCGATAAGATTGATGTGGAGCAACTACCGACCGTAGAAGCTGTTAATAAGGAGGTTATACGCACATTACAGCCCACGGAGAGGTCTTCCGATACTGGTAGTATTGGTTCGTTCTTATCGATGGCTTCTGTAAAAGCATTTCCGAAAAGTTCACTGCCGCAGCCATTGAATCGGGTGTTGGATCCGGTTTTTGTTACATATTACGACAATGTCGAAGACCCTGCTGCAAAGAAACAAACCGCGCAAACACGTCCGTTGCGTAGGCAGCAGAGCCGACACGATGCATTGGATGCAACAGCTATAGCGACTATAGAAAGTTTCCCCACACCAAAGGCGCCGTCACAAACTAATTTAGGCGCTTCGCAGAGTGACAACCCAGATCCGGGTGTTGTTGGCCCTGTAGTCTGGGAACGGCATAAGAAACGTTTGAAAGAAGCGGCGGATAACGATGATGCGGGTAATGATGTTGGGGATAACCAAACAGAAGGGGAACAAGGGAATCGGGAACGTTATTGAGCGTTGAGTGCTCTTAGCATATGTATATTAGACAACTGTAGACTAGAGCCCATCACCAACGTAGTTAATGAGATACAAATGTAGATAAAATGTATTGATTGATTGATAGTCGAATAGACACAATCGATATTTAAATGTATTCGTAAAAACAGACAGGCAAACTGCTCAACACTTAACACTTCCAAGCTCAACGCAAACTCCTCTCTATTCTACATTCTTCCTCTTGTCTTCTTCTATTTTACTTCCACATATACACATTTCCAATAGACGACATGCTAATGGGTTATGACGATAGGTTTGGCAATAATCCGGGAGCAATAAGAGTTCATTATGAAGATTTACTAGAAAGCGCCATACACATGTATTCCAGTCAAGAAGATTTGCCGATGCCTCTGCCAACGCGAGACTTCGTTAATAAACGTAAACCCACAAAATGGGAAAATCGCGGCTCATCGGCGGGCGTATCCAGGTTGGTAGACTGCACTTTCAGTCAGATTATTACAGATTTCTAATGAGCAAATAAACTTGTGTATCCATATTTAGCTTTGCCGCTCGCCTTAATACTACCGACGTCCGTCCAGCCACTGCCCAACCATTGAAAACAACAAAATCCAACAACTCTACTCAACCGCCTTCACCCGCCAGCGGCGCTTGGGGTGGCAGCCTTTACGGTTCACATTCTCCACTAAGTCGACCATTGAGTGCTGGACCCTATCAGCGCTCGGAAACATTTCAGGTGGTTGGTCCACCCAGATCGGCAACAAATCGGTCTGCTGTTTCAGCGGAGCCACTTATAGAGGCAATAAAAAGCGAATTACGACGATTTAAGGATGATAAGCTTTAGATTCTGTGGATAAAATGTGAAGCACAAAATGATTGCACAAATTTAATTTGAAAATAAAAGCATTCAAATACGCATATTTATAATGGGTCTTAATATTGTTCATATCTTAAAGTAGGTTTTTTGAAGTTTTGCAAAATTAGTACTATTTACTGCTATTCTTTATATGGATTCTCCATTGAACATTTCCAAAAGTAGCGTAGCATTAAAAATCTTTTGAGAAAATTACTAAGAAATCTATTCCTTGAGTACTATATATAAGTAGACCTTTCTGAAGTCATATAAAAGAACTCCTGTGTTCGAATTTATAAATAAGCAAAACGCTTAGTGGCCAATACAAATTTGCACAGTCGTTTAATTTTCATGCCCGTCATGTTAAAGCCTTGATCTTCCACACGCGGGATAGTCATGAAGGAAGTATTGAGATGATAGGGCAATGCTCTGCTGAAACCTCTACAATTAGGGAGGGCATAGTCTTGTTGAACTGGGTCAAAAGGATCTTGAGGCAGCTCATGTTCTGATGGTGGCCTAGCTCCGGCTAAGCTCCCGCCAAGGCCAGCTATCTAGTAGTGGATCACAATAGGATAGAAAAGCACCGTCCCGCTCCCATTCTACTTATAGCAGTTCAACGGTGCTTTTCTCTGCTGGCTTATCAGCTTTATAATTGCCTACGATTCCCCTATGGCTTAGCACCTATAATTGCCTTATCACGAAGAGATTCGATTCTATTTATACCGAAGTTAGGCACATTAGGCAAGGTGCTTCAAATTTCAGACTAGTAAATGGGTTCTGGAACTAATCATATAGAGTTGTGGAATCTATTTTTATGTAGATAAATATATAGATATAGGCTTAATATTTAAAAGCTCAAAAATGAGGCGGAAATCATTACTTAGCAGTTTAAGAGAGAAAATGTGTTTAAAAAGGGATTAGAGATATTTCTCAATACTACCCTCTAAGATTTCGAAGACTCCCTACTTCAAAAAACAAACGTTGAAAAAAGTTGCAACTTCGAAACAGGAAAACATTAAATAGCAACAAAAGATTTCATTGAATTTAAACTTGAAGGACGCTTCCTGTAGAATATGAGGAAAATTTCATTGCTAGTGTCTATAGAACATGTCAGGCTATAATAGACAGCGCGAGATTGAAGCAAGTACTGAATAAACGCTAGAAAATCACCCAATAAGTACGGATTCACACCTGGTAAATTAACATTGAATGCAATTCAAAATGTCATAAGGAGTGTGGAAGAAACGCACAGAGGGTGCAGAGTTCGTATGCTCACTCAATGGAAAAATATGATAGAAGTATTAGAACAACACTTTAAAACAAATACATATCTGAGCTTAATGGAGCGAAGCTACCTGAAAAACAGAAGAAAACAGGCCACCACACTGAAAAGTCACGTCAAGAACTGCGCAGGGATCAATCCTTAGTTCAGACCTATTGAAAGACTGATGTTTAGGGCACAAATGTGACTGATGCGCAAGGTCTTAAGCATGCCGCTGAAAAAATGAACTAGTATTGATAACAAAGAGGCATATTCCGATTATAATAGACATGAGAACGAAGATGCTAAGAACACAAAACGTTGTCAATTACGTGCATGTAAGCTGCGAAAAAAAAAGGTGTCCATTATCGTAAAAGCGCAACAGGAGAGCCGGAAGCTTTATTGTCGCAGTAGCTGATAGGGTAGTATCGGCATACCGTACAAATTCGGGCGAAGTTATATTGGTAACAAGCGGTACAAGGAACAAATGTAACCATTACAAAAGAAGAAACACGGAACCGTTCCCACGACAATCGGGTCAACTCGGCAAAATTTCTCCAAATTACTTAATGGATGTTTTCTGCCGCTACAACAACAACAATAACAGAAAAACTTGTTGTTAGCAGATACGTCATGGTAGACGCTAGATTACTATAATACACAGATGCTATCAGTGCGTGGTTATTTTAGCAAGTTTCTACATAAAATAGCAGAGACGAAGACGCGTGATGTATTCACAATGCCACAATGCCGATGCCTAACACGCGTTTTGCAAATGCCTTCGCTGGCAAAAAGAGCGAAGCAGACTGCACGGTTTGGTCGGCCCTTAAATGTTCACATCATATCTATCATCTTTTAATATGAAAAAAAAAAATGGGAGTAACGTAAATACTCGGTTAAAACACACGGCATTTGGATGCAGGCAATGACATCTAACTCTTAAGAACAGGTATTTGGAACACGACGCGAAATGGGCGACGGTGCCATAGAGGAGAGTTTTTAGTGCTCTGCAAGTGATACACAATGATAATGCGGAAGGCATTTTTCTCATCATTCTCCAGAAAAGCAGTGGTTTTGGGCTGCTTAGTTAGCAGAACCAGAAGAAATGTTAACTTCACTGCTGCTTAAAAAAGGAAAAGGCAAAAGAACAGCTGATGAGATGAGGAGTGCCGTTTCGCAATGGGGAGAAAACACACTACATACTTCGCAACGTTACAACGGGCCGTTCAATACCAAACGAGTTTTCCATCAACGAGGTTTCCATCTGCTGTTGGAGAAAATAATTCGAGTTGCAGAACTTAAGCAGGCAGGTACAGCTGCTGCCGTATGCTCTTGATAGTGATATCATTGGCCGCAACACCCGCGCCGTTAGTTCTGCTTTCTCCAGACTGGACAAGGCAGCAAAGCAAATGGGTCTGGCAGTGAACGAGGGCAAGACGAAATATCTCCTGTTAGCAAACAAAAAGTCGTCGCACGCGCGACTATTCTCCCATGTCACTGTTGACAGTCATAACTTCGAAGTCGTAGATAATATCATCTATCTTGAAACTAGCATCATCACCAACAACAACATCAACTCTTGCGAACAGGTCTGCGAACAGGACTGCGAACCGCAGTCGATGGAACGATGAACCATACGATATATACGACGTCATTGACATAGTTCAGCGAATTTTGAGACAGTAGCTTCGCTGGCTAGATCTTATCATTCGAATAGATGAAAACAAGACAGTTCCGAAAGTACTCGACGCAGTACTCACCTGGGGAGAGGAAGAAGTGAATCTCCACTCCGTTCGAGACCAGTCCTTCTCTCATACATGAAATCTGCAATGGCTGGCCAACAGTGAGAAGAGAGAACGACTGGCGCGCTGATGTAAACTCGGCTATAACGCCAATAAAGAAGAAGAAACTTAATATACCCTATTTAGGGTATGAAAATCGACAACTTCTCAAGGTTGTTAGCATTTTGACTGTCTTGACCTTTTGCGCTATTTTGTATATCTCCTTATTAACTGCAATGAAATACATATATATGTTTGTTTGCTTTAATTCAGAATGCCAAAAAATAACAACGACAATAAAACTGATTTAATTTACATATATTATTTAAAAATATATTTCGCTAACCAAAGTTAGGTTCGCCCACGCTCCGTGCTCTCAAATGTACATAGTAAAAGTATTTGATTTTTATTAATTTTATTTATTGCAAGAACATTAATTTAAGGAGTTTTGTATAATTCTCATTAGGCATTTATATATATCGCATGTATGTATATATGTATATAGTGTATATAAGTTAAATCATAACAACGAAAGTGTGAAATGTGACCGCTAAGTGTTGTTGTTGCTACTTTTGTGTGGGAGGCCATTGCAGAAGTGTGGCGTTTTGTTTTAGTCGATGTTGTTGTTATTAGTTGTTCGTTTTAAAGGACTTTCATTGCAATGCAGAGTTGCTTAAGTGTGTTGGTGTGTGCGGAAGGGACAAGTAGTCAAAGGTGTAGGTGCAGGGGTGTGTGGTACATTTATATACATATATTTGTAACATTTTAGATTTTTATATTTTTTGCTGTTGTTTTTTTTTCCTTTTTTTCCTTTGGTGCTTGCATTGCAATGAAAGCCCTCACCAGCCCATTTGAAGAAAATATGTACAAAACAAAAGCAACACCTGTGCAACGGGCATGTTTTATGCTTTATGTTTTTGTTATTGTTTCTTTTGAGTGTGCAAGAAATGCGAAGCTAAAAACTAAAATTTACAAAAACAACAAACTCGAAAATCGATCTCTTTATAAATTTTTTTATTAAATATAGTCTTTTTGTTTGTTTTGCGCATCTAGCATACTGTTTTTACTAACTCTCTAAACTCCCTCAAAGACACTATCTACACATGTGTATATATTAGTAAGTGTATATTTGTATGTTTTGTGCTATTTTTAACTTTTTCGTTTATATTTTTTCGCTTTTGCATAAAATTTGAGTTTTATCTGCTATGACAATTGCGCTAACTTAACATTTGGGTAACTTGGTATGGTTTCAATGGTTCAAAAATCGTCGGCCTAATCGTTTGCATTTGTGGTTCGTCAATGTCAATTGTTATATCTGTGTTGTTGTTGTTGCTGCACTATGCTTAGTAAAGCTCCTTTTGGCCGCTGGCAGGCGACTTGTGTGTTTGCTGCTGTTGTTGCTGCGCGTCCACACTGCGTTTACCCAAGCGTGGGCCGAACCATAGGCCTGAAGTAGCGCTGGGGCCGGTGGCCTTATTCAGTGCCTGTTGCAGCGCCATAATGTGCGCCCACTTCCTCAACTCCGCATCGGTGCGACCTACGCGTGGGAAAGGTATCAGGCTGGCGCGCTTCATTTCGCTTTTTGGATATTCTACTGTTAATATAATGAAAAAAGAAAACAAAAGCAACAAATCAATTAAATGTCTTGCATAAAAGCACACACGTACACACTAACATAGGCAAACACACATTCCTGTGTAGGAACAAACGGTAGGCGCATTACCATGGGCGCTGTGTCAACTCACCTTCGTAGTCCTCTAAGGAGGCGGGGTACATGAGGCTTTCGCCGAGCGCTGAGATGTCAGCTTCATGCAAATTATTCACCAGATTCGGATCGCTGCGTCCGACGCGCGGGAAAGCTATCAGCCCGGAGGGTCCACCGGCCGTGCGCCGATTTTTTTGCTCCAGCTCTGCAATGTATAACATTTCGTATATGTTTACCACTATTCGCTTTACTGTTGTATTTAAATGTTAGATAAATAATTTGCAAAATTAGTGGGTGTATTAGGATTCTCGCTGTCGTGCTTGCAAATTGGAAGATAAATAAATAAACAAATTACTTCCAAATGATAGCTCTGTGCATGTGGGTGTGTGTTCCTAATACAGTTGTGATTTTTACTTGGCAAACTTCTTGTCGTCAACGGTGTGTGTTGTTGTAGTAATCGGCGTAAAGGGAATATTTAAAACAGTGCCATAAATATCAGCGTACCCAAAGTCGTTTGTGAATCGCCGAAGGGTTCCCATGTGCAAGAGTTGTGGTTTATAAGTGACTCACTAAAATGAGGAAGAATACGAAGAACTTGACTTTGAGGACAATACTTCGCTTTCGCGAACTTTAGGGACTACAGCCTCTCTTTCCTCAGTAAATTCTGCAAACATCTTTTTCTTTTCATCGACGTAGCTGCATTTAAACTGACCGGTTGAAATTAAGTTGTTGCATGAAAAACTTTTTTGTATTACAATTTTTGCAGTAAATGAAAGTGGAATCAGAGTACTTTGCGAAATTTCGAAGTTGTCTCAAGAATGTATTAGAATAATTTCTTATAATCTTTATACGCAATCGATCGTTGGATCAGTCCCTGAACTACCTTTTGAAGAACATATCGCTTTGAAGTCTTTTCGACTTTCTGCTGTTTACAAAGATTTATAGATTAAGCTCAAGGAACGCTAGGTTAACAGACATACATTCACTGCATGTGTTGTTTTGTCACATTGTCGCTGACATGGCTACCAGTACAATTAAAAACTATGTATGTGGTGCAGCAATTTTACAGAAATACAATCGGTTTTTGGTAATTTGAAATAAAAATCACTCACTTTATATATAAGATGATAATCAGAGAGAGTTTTGAAAACACGTACTCTGTACTTTACTAGCTGGATCTCTAAGTTAAAGAACAATTTTTAGTGTTTAAACTTAACGCAGTCAATGCGATAATACTTTTCTTGAAAGAAAAAAGTTTCTAAGGCCTGCGTACTCGAAAGTACTTTTGACAATAATGTCAAATATAGACAAGATAAATGTCTACAAAAAATTATTCAGCTTAATATTTTCGTTCATGAAAGGGGAGTTCCAAAGAAAACAGGAGAGTGAGAATTTCATGGCATTTCATAGATTGGAAGTGAATTTAGTGCGTTTTAAGTGTCAGTAAGTTTGTGTTATCGGTGCAAAAATGAGCCAAAATTAAATTTTATTTTAAAATTGGTAAAACTTTTACCGCAACGTTTCAATTGATGAAACAAGTTTATGGCGATGGTTTCCTATCTCGTAGCAAAGTGCACGAGTGGTTTCATCGTTTTCGAAGTGATCGTGAGGACATAAATGATGATCAACATGTGGCCCAATCAAAATGCGTAATCCCGGAGATTGCATCAAACCTGTGCGTGAATTCATCAATCAGCCGAAATCATCATTGAAATTCATGGAAATGAAATTGAACATCTCCAAAACATCGATTTATCGCAATTTGACCGAACATTTGGGCTAATGAAAGGTGTGTGCACGGTTTGTTCCACACAAATTGGCTGAAGACAAAAAATTACTCAGAATTCAACATTCGAAGGACGCTTATTCGACCAAATATCACATTTTAACCATTAACCACTCCCCGTATTCACCTGATATGGCACCGTGCGACTTCTTCCTTTTCGGAAAAATGCATTTGCCCATGAAAGGAAAACGTTATGCAGACGCAGAGGCCACTCAAAAGGCTTGCACCGGCATACTGGCGTCCATACCGGCCACTCGTTCGATATGCTTTTGGACCGCGCAAAAAGCTGTATTGAAGCAGAAGGAGACTATTTTGAATAAAATAAATTTGTTTTGCTGAAAAAATCATTTGTTCTGTTTTCTTTTTAAAGTTCTCTTTACTTTCGAACGCTCCTTGTATATCAATTTACGTATATGATGTGGCTATGAGTCTTCTTCTTTTTTAATTTTTTTTCTTTGACAACTGATTCAACGAACATCATGGTGCTTGCACATAAATGATTGAAGAGTCACCGTTTAGCAGACTCTAGTAATGTGTTTGTTAATCTAATATTATTAATTTTTAATTTTTCTTTTATCATTTTAATTTTTCGCGATATTTGAATAGAGATTCCATTCAGTTCAGATAAAACTAATGAGATTGTGTGAGTATATAAGAGTGCAATTTTGCAAAAAAAAAAAAAAAAAAAAAAAAAAAAAAAAAAAAAAAAAAAAAAAAAAAAAAAAAAAAAAAAAAAAAAAAAAATCACGAAAAATAATTAAGAAAGGTGTTGCAGCTTGCAAGAGTCTAAGCCAGGAGAATACCTTAATATGCAACCAGAGAATGGGAATTCAGGATATTATATACAGTTGAACTAACCTAACTCGCTATAATCACCCTAATTCATAAAAAAAAACTTCGAGTTAGAGAGACTTTCAGTTATGGAAGCAAATTTGTAGAAATTCTATTATCAATTCAAGAGTTCGAGTTATGGAGAACTTCGAGTTATACTTGTAGAAGTTTGAGTTATGGCGGTTCAACTATTTACAGATAGACCGTCATAATCGACAAAAGGTTTGTTAGAAAAACAAAAATCATTGTACATATGTAGTAAATGGGAGTTTGCGCTAGTATTGACCCGATTTCATCTATTTTTTATACTACATACTACTAATAGTCACATACTAATAAAATATTCTGTTAGGTTTATTAAAGTATCATCACCAATCATATCGAGGAAAGTCACCCGGATGTTATATGTTTGTTAAATGGTGGCTACGTTAAGTTTTTGCTCAATTTTATCAATTTTAGCCACTAATCAACTAATCCTTAAGCTTCGTATATTAACAGCATTAGTTAGTTAAATAGGGAAGTTGAGAAGATAATTAAATATCAACAACTCAGCAATGGAAAAGTTGCTAGTAGTCAAAAAGTTTATATGGACTCGATATAAGAGTTGCACTATATTATTAACAGTAAGACTACCATAATAATGCTTATAAAAAAGAGTTTATACCTCCAATAGTTTTATGACATAAATATTTGGTTTGAGAATATACGTCGGCAATAGATGAAATATTTCGATACAGTTCAATGAAAAGTTTTTAACGAATTGTAAAAAGCATTAAGCCGATCTCACAAACTATCTGTAAATAAGGCATAAAAGATTGTAATGACCTGCATAATTATTAGCTGCATTCTTATATTGTGTGGTACCAACGAAACAACAAAAAATTTGTGCTAGTAGCAATGAACGACAAAACTTATTGAACAACCTGTTATGCGGTATAAAGTCACCTAGTTCGAAAATCGTTGTGTTAGGTACGTGGGACAAAGGTATTGACACAACTATAAACATTTTTGACCTGCAGACCTACCATTGTCAATTATACAACTCACACATTGAACGATATTTTCGATTAAAAGTCAGATATAGATGCGTGAGTCGTATTCGCTACCTAGGGGCTTGAACCGTATCTGTTGAATTTGACCAACTTTTGATTGAAAAGTCTGATAGGTTTAATGTACATACATATATCCTTGAGTTTTAAATTTCCTTCAATTCTTTCACCTTCTGGTATACCCTAAACGGATTGCTCGAGTATGTAGATCTTTCCATTAATTAATGAGTTCCCTTCTTATTCCTTTTTAGAAATATAATTAAAAAAGCTAAATTAAAAAATTTAAAATTCATATTGAAAATATTATTTCAGTGTTTATAATGTGGTTGTTGCAAATTAAATATTTCGGTGCTCATGGAACAAAAATGGAATAACTACAGGTGAAAGTGTGTCATCAAAATTTGTTCCGCATTTTAGCTAAGGAATATGATGCGACTTTTAGGAGGCACTAGGAGTCACTCATATCAATTTTGATGACTATTAATTTTGTTATTTCGATTTAATGTAGATATTGTAGTACCGATTATAATCGATATTAATTATACGCTGGTATCGAACGCTTGACAGAGCAATTTTGAATCTAATTATAATCTAAATGAATATATATATCAAGTGAGCTTTCGCCAATTTTTCTTAAACTACTTAACGGCTAGAGCAGAAACTTGTGATAACTTTGAATACTTTCACTAATTCATTTATTTCGCTATAATATTTATTTACATGTAATTAATCTTATATTTTCAAATGTGCCTTTGTGCTCGAAAGAAATTCTAAATTATTTGTAAACATTAATTTTAACTTACCAAATAAACTCCGTTGCTCGGATTCTAAAATCAATAGACAATAACAACAAAAAACGCTTATAAGTGTGCTAATACAGATAATTAATTTGTCTAAGCAAAGTGAAAATAGTAATATAGCAACGAACAGCTGATCAATATATGCTTCTACGATATAGTTTTATATGTACGTGTATGTGTAGTGTTGTATATGGGGAGAGCGGGTGAGTGGGTGTGTGTGAAATGATGTCAAAAACCCCACAGCTGACACATTTGCTGCAATTTACCAAGCTTAACCTGATTGCTACGGGGATTCTATGCAAATTTAATGACCAACAATTTAGCACTAAATTTAAACAAATCACCAACACGTACACAATATGAAGAGCAACAACAACAGAAATGTAGGTGAAATGGACACAACTTATGTGGCTATTTGTAGTTGAGCCAGCAAAGTTGAAGATGCAGAGTGCAAACAGCAATTGCCTCACAGCTCGTCGCCATATTGACACGCCACAAGAAGGAAGTGCGCCGTTGTTGTTCATACGCACTGGTTCACCGCCGGCGCGCGCTCTGCTGTGTATGGTTGTTTGTGGCTTAAGTAGCCTGCAGTGCGATTGATGTTTGCTAATACCATTTTGAAACGCACATCTCAATATGTCTTACGAAAATGTTTGATTGCTTCAATATTCACGTAAAATTGCGGTAAATCTCTGTTAGGCTACTTTTGAATTGTTGCTTCACAAGTGACAATTGTCGTCGGCGATTTGTTTAACGAATGCTGTTATAGGCTGAAGAGCGAGTTTTTGGTGAGAAAGTGTAAAACTTTTAGCTTTATTTTCTAATGTAAATTTTAAGCACGTTTTTGGCGCTTCCTTTTGTGCAAGCTCTGTATTAAAATTGCGATTAATCACAATGGGCGCTGCTACGTTGGCGTAAATTATGACTTTGATATTTTAAGTGATTCAATTTAGTGAGTTGCTTTTAGTAAAGAGCAATTTTTACTATTTACTGTTTACTATTATTTCATTTCGTTCTGTAAAATGTGTGGGTTAATGGTTTGCATAATACTGTGAGAGACAGGTTATCAAGATAATATGGAAATGGTATTCTTACAGTGGCTAAATTATATAGTATGCGTTTCTAAAATTAAGTTAGAATTATTATTTAATTTAGACACCACAGTGTTGAAGACATTAGTGTTGACAGGGTTAGATTTGTTAACAAGAATAAATATTGTCCTTCGGTGTCAACTGGTTGATAGCGAATATTCCTAGAGGGCAGTATTGCGAATTTTTCTACTAAAAGGTTTTGGACTAAAAATACAATTTTCAATTCTAAATTCCGATTCCGATTAAATTTATATCACAAAATCGGAAGTAAAAATTTGTCAAATATCTTTCATTTAGTTAAAATCCCTCAGCTTTTGTTTTGAAATTTTGCATTATGCTGCTCCTTTATTGAACTACACTGCTTATCGCTTCTATATAAACTGAACGATCGGAATGAGGTTATTATTTGGAAAGCTTTTTCGTTTGATGATATATCTTTAAGAAATTTAGCTAAAATTATTGCTTAGTCAGTGATGCAGTCTCTAAAAAATTGTTCAGTTCGGGTTTCTGTTGTATATAGCAGCTATAAAAACTGATCGATCAAAGTTCTTGTAATGAACATTTTTTTTGTGAAGGTGTAATCGAATTAAATTTTTTTTGGTTTAATTATAATTGTAAGGCGTGAGATTAGCATTTATTTTTTATTTTTCCATCCGCTGTTTTGGGTTCAAATTTTTATTTTTATTCCGATTTTTTTTTTTTGTTTTAGTTTATTAATTTATTTCTAATCTTTCAATTCGAGTTTTGGATTAGGAAGCTAACATTTTTGTTTGTCAATTAAGGTTTCTTGGATTCAGTAAAAACTATTTTCAGTTGTATTTTAATGTATTATTTGCAACGCAGTTTTATAAAAAATACTACTGTGGGCAAAAAATCAAACACATTTAAACTTAAATTTTGTGCGGAAAATAAAGGAATTGGTGCTTGAGAAGCGACGACTAACAGTCAGCGATTTTACTGATATCTTTGGAATATCGATTAATTTCAAAATCACTAAATTTTTACGGAAAACAGCGACATGTTAACGTCTGTATAACAATATTTTCTGACCACGAGGATGTTATGAAACATAATATTACTGTCGATGAGTTTTAAATCTATGCCTACTACTCGGAAGCAGACGATCAAGCGGCCGTATATCGTGGCAAAGCTGAAAAAACCACATCAAAGCAGTTCAAAAATCAGGGTTATGTTTACAATTTTCTTGGATTATTGAATTGTTAACTCTGCCGTGCTGTTATTTGAGTGTTAGTCAATTGAAAACATTATACGCGTTTTGAAGGCTAATTCGAAAAATAACTGCTTCGCGGATTGAAAAAAATGTTAGCACAAATGTATTCTGGGCAAGACTGGACAGCATTACTTTAATGCTGACGACATAGATTTTGAAGAATGAATTAAGAATTTAATAATTATAACCAAATTCTTACTATTTTCTGTTCATAAGTAATAGTACATCGTGTTCCAAAAAACTTTAACTATACTCTCCATAGGGCTTCAGTTACGATCAGCGGTATTTATCGTGAATATAAATACTAGTGGAAATATTGAAATATATGTATCCATCCAAAACATCCATTTAAAGAGAATACTATGCAAACCGAAACTAATGATTTTATAAGATTTATAATAAGTAACCTAAATTACTGTAACTTCTGCTGGCAGAACTGTGAGGCGCAGATGTTTCGTAAAAGATTCAAATACGCATCGATTCCCATTATTTTTTTTTTTTTACTTTTCTACACAACTCAAATAAATGAAATTTAGCGAAGTTTAAATTTAGAAAAAAGTTTAATGGAATATGAATCTCTCACATTTTTGGACATAAACCTTTCAAACTATAATAGTATATATTCATAATTACTTCTATTATTACTTCTATTTATTAATTTGAATTAGAAAGTATCTTTTGTCGATGTAAATTGATTTGACAATTCTTTAAGCAATCCAAGAAAAATATAAAAAATATTATTTCTTATATAATAGGTAGTTCACATTAGAGAGGATATTTCCAGGATTATAAAAAATAAAATATTTTAAAGATAATTTGGTCTTAGAAGCATAGAGCGATTTGCCAGAAAAATATTCATGGTAATTAGAATTCAATGCGCTGTTTACGAAAAGTGTTGTGGAAGCAAAAATTATCTAAAATATTTCTTAAAAATGGTAGATTTGGATCAGCTGACTCTGAAGCGTTTTTTTTATTGAATTCTTTTTAATTGAATTGCTTTTTATAGAACTCTCTTTAATTCAATCATCACCTTAGAGCCTGCACCTGGCTCAACAATTTTTATTTGATTAAAATTTTTGCAGTGTGTTTAATTTTTCTGTTCTGTTTTCGTTTTAAATTTTTCTTTTTTAAGTTAATAATGTTGAAATCCGTTCATTCTTGTAATCAAATATTTAATGTAATCAAGCTTTATATGGTATGGAATTATATTTTTATAGTCAAGCAATTTATGTAGATTATTACCTATTATAATTGATTTTTTTTTAAGTTTTGTGGAAATCAGGGTCAATTAGGAGACAATTTAAGTTATTTTTCTCTTTCTTTTCGAGATAGAATTTTAAAATTAGCTGAATTATTTAATAAAAAAGTTACGGCTGTTAATATAATGCATTCCTACTAAAGAAAACGATGCATACATTTAGGGCGGGCAACGTTTTGCAAAATTAAACTTTCAATTATAGCTTGTAAAGTTAAACATTAAGCTAAGAAAGAATGTTTTTCCACTTTTAAAAAAGTAAGCTTGAAAATATTGCTTCAGTTGATTAGAGATTGTTATATGAAAAGATTAAACGTTGCCTACATTTAGGCAGAGTGAAGAAAAGGCTAAGCTACAAAAATCTTGCTCTTAAAAGCTTTTGGTTATAGACTATGAGCTTCAAATTTAAAAATAAAAGTAAAACTTAAATATAAGTAAAGATTGGTTGGTATTCCAAAAATTTTATGAGTTTATAAAAGGGTTTAAGAAATTTATTTTGTATGAAAATGATATTTTCAAAACTAAATAAGTGTTTTTAAATATGTTAATGCTGAGAAAAATAAAAAGCTGAACACTATTCCTTAGATAACTAATACAAGTATAGGTTTTGAGCTATATAAAATTTAATTTCGGATTGAATTAATTAGAAGTTTTTTATTCTTTATGTTTATATACTTTTTCTTAAATGGTTTCAAATCAAGTCACTTTTATCAATTTTGCGTAGAGTCGAATAATATTTTGTGTTTTGTTTTTTTTTTTTTGGTTTTTTTTTTGGGGTTTTTTGATGACATACGAATATGCATTTTAATTGCAAAAATTGTTAGAAATATCTCAACCGATTCACCAATCGCAAACTATTTTTTTTTATTATAATACCGCTAAGTATATTATTGCACAGCTCACGAAAGTTTGCGTTTTCTTTTATTTTGTTTTTTCGAAATACATTGAAACTATTTTCTCACATTTAAACCCTTTCAAATTTTCAAAATCGCAAAACTTTTGCATCGTTATCCGCGTAAAGTTCTTATCATTGTCACATTTGAGAGTCCAATTGCTTCTTCTTATACACTTACCAGCGTCGGAAAATCCAGCTAAGGCCACAACAACAACTGTCGAACAAATGATAACATCCAAACAGTAGAAAGACTTCATTTTGATAAATCCTTTGTGGCGTGACAAAACCCAACAGCGATGAAAATAATCAAGGAAACAACCTTGAAATCCGAATGTTGCAGTTTTTTGTGAAAAAAATAAAAAAAAAAAACAAAAGCAAAAAGATGAAAATATTTAAAAATAACCGTTGTTGATTTGCAGACAAACAAATAAACTGTGCAACAAACAAGCGAGCGCTGCGACTTTGTGACGGCAACGTGTTTGGAAGTCTCGGCAAGGCACTGTTCTGCGTTGCTCGCCGCTGGAGAAGATATGCAGGCGAGACGAGTGGTGGCCGTGTGACTGAAACGAGTCACAAATTGTCACAAATTCACACTTTCCGCTTGTTGCTTGCCTGTCTTTGGCGTACTTTGCCTTACCACGCTCACCGAAATTATGCTTGATAACTGTTAAAACGCATGTCCTTTTATACGGAAAAGACAAAAGCCATCGCCGTCAGGCTAATATCCAAGCGAAGCAACAACGCGTCATGATGTAGCAACATAGTCGCAAATACTTATGCCAAGTTGCATATGTGTGTGTGTGTGGCAACAGTGACAACAGCTACATACATGAGCGCTAGGGATGACGGCAACAAAACGATACAGGCATCAATACCAACACATAGCAACGATGACAGGAGATGCCAACTTTTAGGCGCATTTGCGTGCAATACTCCTTATTTACATACACACATATATAAATATATGAATGCGTATATGTAAGTGAGCAACAGCACTAATACATTTTCCAAAGATATCCAATGGATTCTCGGTACTACGTACCGTTACTGTTGAAAATTCCGATTGTTACTGCACAGTTATTGTTGTGGGCGTCACTAAATGCTTTGTGCCACACGTGTACGTGTGTGTGTTAACTCCGTTTTTTAAACCGGCATGAATGAAGCTGCATATTTGGACGTGCAATTGAAGCAACATCAGTATTAAGCTGTATAACTGTATCTAGATTAGTGTAAGTGTGCGTTAAGCTGCCTCATGCCTCAAGTTTTGTCTTTGCCGCAATCAGCTGTTTGCTACAACTAAATGTGTAGCAACATCTGTAACAGGTGGTTCAGGAATTTCTAGCAACATGTTGCTGAGCTGGCGAATATGGCTTTGTTTGATATTAAAAATGTTGCGCAGTAACTTAGCTGGTAGTGTTAGAAATCATGTGAAGACTACTTAAGCGTTGTCAGCAAGCATGTTTTACTACAATGACAAATACATGTAATATCGAAATAGAGTAGAATAAATCCTGAAACTACAAGTAATTTCTTGTAAAAAACTTCCTTTTTATAGTTTTCATTATGTAATGGTTGTTTGTAAGTCCTAAAACTAAAAGAGTCAGATATATATACCAAAGTGATCAGGGTGACGAGTAGAGTTTAAATCCGGTTGTATGTCTGTCCGTCCATTCGTGCAAGCTGTAACTTGAGTAAAAATTGAGATATCATGATGAAACTTGGTACACGAATTTCTTGACCTCATAAGAAGGTTAAGTTCGAAGATGGGCAAAATCGGCCCACTGCCACGCCCACAAAATGGCGAAAACCGAAAACCTATAAAGTGTTATAACTAAGCCATAAATAAAGATATTAAAGTGAAATTTGGCATAAAGGATTAGGGAATGCTCTTATACACATCTAGATGTGTATAAGAGACAGGTATCGCCTCCTACTAAATTTTTTGTACATATCTCGGAAACTACTATAGCTATGTCAACCAAACTCTATAGAGTCGTTTCCTTCAGGCATTTCCATATACAGTTCAAAAACGGAAGAAATCGGTTAATAACCACGCCCACCTCCCATACAAAGGTTATGTTGAAAATCACTAAAAGAGCGTTAACCGACTAACAAAAAACGTCAGAAACACTAAATTTTACGGAAGAAATGGCAGAAAGAAGCTGCACGCAGGCTTTTCTTAAAAATTGAAAATGGGCGTGACGTCGCCCACTTATGGACCAAAAACTATATCTCAGGAACTCCTCAACCGATTTCAATGAAATTCGGTATATAATACTTTCTTAACACTCTGATGACATGTACCAAATATGGGTAAAATCGGTTCACCAGCACGCCTTCTTCCATTGTAACGCTATTTTGAATTTCATCGGATGCCTTCTCTGTATAATATATCCATTAGGAACCAATGATGATAGCGGAATAAAACTTTGCACAAATACGGTATTTGATGCGAGAGTATAAAATGTTCGGTGACACCCGAACGTAGCTCTTCCTTACTTGTTTATTGTAAGATTTTTTCAACAAACTGCTGTTTGTAGGTTAGGTTATGGTGGAGAGATGTATACAATCCAGCCTTCAAGGGTGATTTATGAAATCACAAAATAAGAAAACAAAAGAAGAAGATGAATGCAGGTAGAAAGTGGAGAAACTATGTTGGCAAATCTTTCTAAATAAGATACGCATATAAGAATTGAGACTACATAACCAAAATTAGTAGTTTTCTTTAATGTACATATAGAACCTTCGGGCACAGCGCGATAGGTAATGGCGGTTGGGCAAACAGCGACTACATGCCCCCACTTTTCAACTGGGAAAGAAGGTTCAAATTAGCATAGAAAAGGATGGCGGCCGTAAAGGTATATTGGCTACGCGCAACACTCTAAACGTCTATAATGGCAGCTTTTTTCGATGGCCGATGGAGTGGGAATATACTGTCCAGAGTTAGGCACATGGCAACTTTTTAAGTTGCCAGACCAGTGCAATATATTTCAAGCTGAGGTCTTTTCTATTATGAAAGCAGCGCAGCTGGCCTCTAATGCACCTGCTTGCAATTCCAGTGTCTACATCTACGTAGACAGCCAATCAGAAATCAAGGCAGTATCCGCGTATCGCATATCGAAAACGTGACCAATATTCGGAAGCCCATGTGTTGTAAATACGATAATCTCGACAGAAGCATGGTGAAGAAAATCAAAACACGATGGAACGAACTATCTGTGTGCAAAACATCAAAATTAATGCAAAACGGTAGACCGCAAGTAAACAAAATTCTTATTGGCACTCAATAGACAAAACTGTATGAAAAGAATCGGTATCGGTCGGTGTCTTGGATTGTGCAGTTTTCGAAAGAAAAAAGATTAAAATCATCTTGGATAATATAATATCACTCTGTTGAACTATAGAAACCTGAAATGGCCTGAACCGTTTTCTAAAATACTTTAGGCGCTTTATCATAAGACTTCCCTATAACTATTTAAATTTTTGGTAATTAAAGGACCAGTCTACAACTGTAAACATATCGCTCCAGTAATCTCTTTCGTCCGATCAGATTTAATAACCAAGCAAACATAGTCCATAAATCTGTTGTGGTGCGGATTGTGCGAGTATTAAAATGCTTTAGTAATTAATATAATTTAGACTATATTCTCCCTGATGAAAAATTTTGTGGAAGAAATCGAAATATAATAGAACAATCAGTTATTTAGAATTTTCATTAAAATTTTTTTTATTTCACTTAAAACAACTTCAATTTAATATAAATTTATTTGTCTCTTGCAAAGCACAAAATGTCTTAGTAAATTTTCCAAGTTTGAAAACATAAGCTGACAATCTGGAAGTACGCATAACACAGATTCTCAACTTATAACCAACCGGATATCATACGTCCAGTGACTGTCGATTTGCCACGCTCTCCGCCGGCAGCTGCACTGCTTTGTCCCACTTTAATTACCGGTTTAGCCGGAGCAGGTGCCGCCGCCTTTTTATCGTCCGGTTTTTTTTCGTCAGCTTTCTTTTCGTCTGGTTTCTTCTCATCGCCCTTCTTGTCGTCCGCTTTCTTGTCATCTGCTTTTGCCGTCGCACCCGTGCTAGCGCCCGCAGCGCCACCACTACCACTGGCACCACTAGCGTCACCAGCTGCCTTGGTGGCTGTTGGGCCCGTTGCAGGCGGTTTCGCGTCGCCTCCCGCTGTCGGTGCATCGGGCTTTGCACCCGCGGGCGCAGCTGGGGCAGCACCTTTAGCGGCGGCAGCTGTCGTGCTAGCGCTTGCAGCAGCGCCTGGTTTTGCCGCTTCTGTCTTAGCAGTGTCCTCCTTCTTGGCAGCAGCTTCTGGCTTTGTGGTTTCACCTGGTTTAGCAACAGCAGGCTTGGCGGCAGCAGTGCCGCCGCTTGAACTGTCACCTGGTTTAGGTGCTGTTGCGGGCTTAGCTTCGGAGCCGCTTGGCTTAGCGGCATCATCCTTCTTAGCAGCTGGGTCTGGTTTGGCAGCGGCTGGGGGTGGTGATTTTGCCGCAGCACCTGCAGCTGGCTTCGCTGCATCATCTTTCTTTGTTGCATCAGTTGGTTTAGTGCCAGGTGCAGCTGGTTTTCCTGGTGGAGCCGGTGCGGCTGGCTTAGCGTCACCTGGTTTAGTTTCTTTGGGTTTGGCATCGGTGCTGGAGGTTTTGGATACAGTATCAGCCTTTTCATCGCTGGCAGCTTTTGGATCGTCCGGTTTCACTTTCTTTGACTTTAAGTGAAGGTGAAATTTATATACACATTTATATGAAGTATTGCCTTAAGGTTAGTACTTACGCCGCTGGTAGCTTTTTCGTCTTTGATAGTAGCGCTTGTTGTTGCTGCTTCTACAGACGCGGCTGCGGCGCCATCTTCGTCAGCTGCCATCTTCTTCTTCATGAATTTGACATATGCAACACGTGTGGCGCGTGTCACATCACCCAAATTCGGATTGAATTCTACACGACGAAGCAACAAATGAGATAATATTTTAATTGAACGAAACTTTACATACCAATTAACTGATTCTGGTTCATCTTCAGGCCCTCATTCGCCTGATCGATGATCTTGCGCCGCAAGCTGCGCTGACTATGTCGCTGTATTGACGAACGCTTGGAACCAATCGGGTCGGCGGTCATTGTGTTCTGACGTGCAATGGCATTCCAGTCTTTCTCACTGCAAGAAATGGCGAGTAGTGGTTGTACTTGCTACGCAGTAACCGATTGTACCTACCCCGATTTCAATGACTTCTTCTTGCCAATTACCCTTGCCAAAGAGGAGAAGATATCCTTGCTACCCTCATCGCCTACCGTCATCTCATGCTGCAAATTCTCAACAAAGCCGATTTGGAAGTCTTTCAGTATACGTCGCTCCATCACCTTACCCTTCTTGGTGCCGGCCGCCGCAGCTGTGAACACACATTAAATATTCTCAGTACACTAGGGCATCATTTAATTGCCACAATGGTTTATTACGCACCTGCTGTTTTCTTCTCAATATCGGGCACGTTGAAACGATTCGTTTGGAAAATGTCCAATAGTTCGAAACGTAGCGAACTAATGTCCTGACGCACTTCAATGATATCATCTTCGGTTATGCCATAGTCGTCACGACGACGCTGCTCTGCGGTGACAAAGCGTCGTATGAGCAGCTTCATGACTTTGTCGTGCAACGCCTGTGAGCGCTCCTTCGTCTTGCGCTGCAAGTAAGAGTGAGATAGCATAAGAATCAATGTGAAGAAGATATCTACTGTTGCTATTGCAGTGAGGAAATTTGGATTGGCAAATATCTGGTTTTCTTTACTTTAACACTTTGGCGCCGATTGTATGGCCATCATACCGGTGACTGGTCTCTCAAGCTGATAAATTGTTAATAATGACCAACTATTTATTTCTATCATCGCAAGGGTTTGTCTCTTCTTCCCAACAATCTCTATTTCTGCATACAGTGTTGGCAGATGAGGTGGATTAGGGACAACAATGTGTATTAAATTTGTATGCAAAATCTATTAATATCGTCTCGCTATCCTTCAAATAAAAGTCTGAATAGTAAATACTTAAAACTTTGAAGAAATTTGAAGAGAACTCACACTCTTTAAGTAATAAAATAGTTAACTGGGTGCCTCTAATTACTGTGGCGAAAAAAAATTTTCCTCTTCGAATGATATAATTTAAATGGTAAATATTTTTAAGAGACTATTTATCAGATTTATTTACGTATTTGAAAATAACTTGCACCCCTGCAAAGGAAATTAAGTTAGGTTAAGTACGATGCCTTAACAGGAATCTCACTAGGATAGCTTCGTATCCCTCCTATACAATATATGTAGGGTTACCATATTCAATGATTAGTCAGGGAATTGTTTGATTTTGACCTTCTGCCCTGGTTCTTTGATTTTCGTGAAAAATGCACTGATTCCCTGCATACGCAACGGGACTGATTTTGACTGAGATGGATATGGTAACCCTAAATATATGAAAGACTTTTACAAATCGGCAAAGGGCTTTAAGCCTAACACAAATTTCATCAGGTTCGTCGAAGGTAAGACTGCTCAGTTGTTTCATCGTTAGCCTTGCAAACACTGGACAATGAAGGATAAAGTGCCTGGAGGTTACTGGTTTCCCATTTGGACAGTAGAAACAAAAGTGCTTTGTAATGCTAAGAATCCTGGGTATGTATGAAGAGACCGTAACTTACCGACGAAGCTCTTGGCCTCTAACGTAAATTTGTGGAGGCGCCTACACTCGTTTATAATCAACTCATTAGCTTTTTTTTAAATATAAATTTTTTTTTAATATTATCCCAATATATTTCAGCATAATCCAGTTATTTATACTCTAGAGATATATTTGGTGTAATAAAATTCTACAAAAAATAATAATTATTATTATCGAAGAAAAACAGTCCTTTATATGACTAACTCAACAGATGTAAATAAACTTATCAGTCCAGAATTAAAATATTTCCCACTCACCATAAAACTTTTAGTGCGCTTCGGTGCCTCTTTGCCCAATGTCTTGCGTAGCAGTTTCACCGATGGCATAATATTGAATGGCGGCGGCACAGTGCCACCATCCTCGAAATAACTCATCCACAGCTGGGAGCGTGCAAATTTCCATTCAACGTCTGCGCGTTCCGAAATAATTTGATACGAGTTGGACATCATGGCAATAAGCATGTTGAGTAGCACAATAATATTTATAACCGAGTAGGAGCCGAACATAAGTAGAGCCCAAAACCGTGTGAAGCTCTTTATGCCAGCCAAATCGAACGATACCAAATCGACCAAGCCGAAGGAAGCCCAAAAAAGTGATTGTGATGTTTCAAAAAGGCTACGAAGAGGGGAGGAATGTTAACAAAATAGTCGAATAATCGAAAAACTTAAAAAATCTCACTTCGAAAATCGTCGCCAAATAGTACAGGCTTTTTCCTGGTCATCGAAATCCGCCACATCTGGATGCAAGTGGTAGCACTTGTTCTTCTCCAGTTCAGCATAGTACCATAGCAACTGATTTAAGCCACAGCCGAAGGCGAATAACACCAAAGTATAGATGAAGAAAAATTTGATGATATCGATGATCATGCGTCCCAAAGAGACTTGTAGTGGCCCCAAATGTGGATTGATTGAAAAAATATGAACCAATTTTAAGTAAGAGAACACCATGCCGGCAGCAAAAGCGCCTTCGGAAAGTAACATCGGGTCGAAAGGGTGCCAATGTTCGCGCGGAAAGTAAGGATCGATGCCGCGGTACCATAAGTCACGCTAGAAGCAAGTAAAGATATTTTATTAGAAAATAAATTGTATACACGAAGAATTTCAACTTAGGTAAAATTGTATGTCTTTTATTAAGTTGTGAAAATTAAATAGTAATAATGTCTTACTGCAAAATACATTTTTATAAAAGATGCTACTAACATGTACTATAATCCATGCTGTCGCCCTACAAAGTATCCAAGTGACATAAAACATATTGGAAACGAAGTCGACGATATTCCAAAGATCCATGATATATTCAAACAGGCCATCCGAATAAAGCGTTTTCAGCTCACCAAACACAAGACCTTAAATAATAACATTTTCGATGAGTTCTGCATAAATAACTTTTTACGTTCCTTACTGGCAATATAGGTGATGATGCCCAGTTCGATCGGTCCTGGCAAAGAGCCGCGCTCATGCTTACGCCAATCCTCCAGCATGGCCAACATCCAAGGAAACCCAAGCAACTCGAAAGATAGTTGAACGACGCGCAACGATGCAGCGCCCAGAAGCACTAGAGATCAGATTATATTAGTATTTCGGTGTTCGCTCTATAACACGCTCACCGCCCACAACTTACTCAAAAAGAACATGTACGAACAGGAATGTGAAATGAACTTCACAAATGGCTTTCTCATGAATTTGCCAGCATCCGAGTCCGGCGCCAGCAAATAGTTCATGCTGTTAATGGGGAACATAGTGCCCAGCTTCACCACTTCGATGATCTGCTGTGAGGCTTGTTTGCGCCTAAAACCGGGTAGACCCTCATACCAAATGGCCGCCAGTAATTGTTGCACATTCGGATGTGCCACAAACTAAATGGCGGTGATAAAGAAGACATTTGCAAATTTGCTTTAAACAAATGCCAAGACAACAACAAACTTGTTGTTGTTGAGGTATGTTGAGTGCATTAATTTCTTACCGCTTTCTGCTTGTATCTTATGGCCAATTTGAGGCGCTCCAACGTTTGTCGCTGCCCCGGCATCCAAATGTCGGTGGTTGGCTCGTGATTGAAGTTGAGCATTACCTCCAGTTCGGTGGAAGTGCGTGCGTGATCCAATAATGATGAGACAAACTCTTGCACACCCACACGCATTTCCTGCAGTCACAAGAAAGTGCGCACATACACAAATAAAATTACAGTTATGCACATTAGTATACAAATGAATAACATATGGTCACCTAAAAAATGCGTAAAGAAGCCGCAAAAGCGCAACATATTCTTTTTTACAATCACATAAATGCATTTAAGCGGTAATCTCATTGTCTCTTCGCTTTCTTTTTGCCTCTTTCCGCATTTGTTTTCACTTTCTACTTCTTTGTTTTTTGTGTTCGCGCATTATAACATTCACACCCCCCTTCTTACCGTGTATTCCGCTCTGAATTCGGATTCCATCGCCTGCAGTCGTTTCAATTCCCATGAGAGCTCAAACGCCGTTAGAACGGGATCGCGTGAGCTAAGTGCTATCAGTGAACTGGCGGAGAGGGCGCGATAGGCGTTGATACGCGATTGTGAGTGCCGCAGCGAATCGGTTTCTTGAGAGGTGACACACTCGTCGCAACCACATCTACGGAAGATTAATTTAAAAGATTTTTTGTTAGGAAGTACGGTAAATGAGCTAAAATTTTTAATTAAGGCATATCATTTGAAGATTCGTCGTGAAGGCACTGAAAACACTCTCATAAAAAACGATTCTATATAACCGGAATGGATCTCAATTTTTATCCGACCTAGGACTACTGCTCTATGGAGTCTTTATGTGTCTCTTTTAGCTCTAGAAAAGACTGCAAAGCTCGAGGGCGTTCATCTTATTTGACTCTAGCTACTATAAATCTCTCTCATACCACCTCGTTCCTCTAGGGCTTTTATTATTGATTTATAACATTTTTAGTACTTTTTTCTAAAACCGTTATATGGAGAGTAGACGAAGTTATCATCGGATATCATTTACTTTGACAGTATCGACAAGGGTGCTTCAGGGACTTGTCCTTAGTGAATTTGGTTATGGCAACATAAGTCATACTTGTAGTGGTCTAGGAGATATATGAGTAAAACATCTTAAAGGGCGTGGCCACGCACAGTTTTTTGAATTTTTAGCCCACAGATGTCCCTGTGCCAAATTAAAGCTTTGTATCTTAACTCAGTTCTTAATTGTGGCGCTTCATAGTTTTCGTTTAATGGCGTTTTGTGGGCGTGGCAGTGATCCTATTAGCCTTAAATGGTACAAACAACCGTTAAATGAACAAAATTACTATAATCTGTATCAAAATGTTACAAGAGTATAGAAACACCCTTTACAAGGCATGTTTGTTTTTTTAAATTTAAATACGATATTTCACCTTTTTTGATTTTAGAAGTCTCCATGTGGCAATATATTATTTGCATATCTCGAAAAAATTTAGTTATGAGCTAATGTTATCAACCCTGGCTTTTCTGAAAAGGCGAGAAACAGCTGGTATGGCGCGGAGTGCCGTATCGCAGTGGAGAGAAAATAGACACAAAAAAAAAAAAAACAAAAAAAAAAAANAAAAAAAAAAAACAGAAGGAAGGTTTTAAGACCGGAGCATACTCTTGTAGAAGGCCTATCATACTAAAATTACGGAAAGAATACTTCTACAGCCTGCTGAATGGTAATGAAAGCGTAACACTGGGTGATACCGGACTCGACCAAGAAGAAGTTCGAACAGCAATTACCCGCCTGAAAAACAATGAAGTGGCGGGGCCGATGTATTGCCCGTCAAACTATTCAAATACGGCGGCGAAACACTACTAAGAAGCATACACAAAAAGCCAAAACCCACAATCTGCGCCAAGTACGGTCGGACAAGCCTCCTCAACATCATATATTAGGTGTAATGGAACATATTGTGTGAACGGTTAAAGACCACCGTCAACAAACTGATTAGACCTTATTAATTTATTCACCTTAGCCAAATGTTGGAAAAGGCACGTGAAAAAACGATCGACACACACCACCTCTTCGTCGATTTCAAAGCTGACTTTGACAGAACGAAAAGTAAGTAAGCTATAAGTGACGTTAAGTTATACCAAAAGCTCTACCATGATCGGAAAGGACCTTTCCGAGCCGTTCTATACCAAACCAGGTTTCAAAAAAGGCGACTCCATATCGTGCGACTTCGTCATTCTACTGTCGAAGAAAATAGTTCGAGCTGTCAAGCTGAACAGAGACAAAGTTTTGTAGAGTGAACAATTGCTGACGTACGACGATGAAAGCGATATCATTTGCCATAAGAACCACGCCTTTGGTTCTGCTCTCTCCAGGTTGGAGAAAGATGCGAAGCAAATGGGTCTGATGGGAAATGCGGGCAAGACGAAATATCTTCTGAAACGTTATGAGATATACGAAGACATTGGCATAGTTAAGCGAATTAAGAGACCGCGCCTAAGCTGGCTAGGTAATAGTATTGGACACAGTACCCACCGGAGGAAGTGCATTAGAGAGAACAGGTGGAAAAGGATGTGGCTATGCTTGAAATATCCAATTGACGACAAACTCGACTATAACCGCGTAAGCGGTGTAAACGTCAATAAAGAATAAGAAGGATCATCGTAAAGCAGACAGTAAATTGTCTACTTTCATCTGAATAGTCTAATTTGCTTCAAGCATGTTGTCAGAAGACACACAGTTCACGAACCGTAGGCTTTCATGCCACACATTGACACTTATATAGTCAAGATATTAATTTCTCTGCATAAAATGTTATGTTTTCTAATGGAATTTCTGCGAATGCGTTTGCGAACAGGTTTTATGGCTGTATTGGATCCAACCACTTCTGTTTCCGTCGTCAACTGTAGCTGTAGGAAAAACGATTAGTTATGTGATAAACCAGAATTCTAAGTACTAAGTTTCTTGAGAAGCTCATAAATTTCACGTGCGCCTTTTCCACACTTCTATGAAGTTATTTACGCAATATAATTTTCTTCAGCTCTCAAGCCAATGTTAATAGTCGTGTAAATACCGAATTGATTATTATGTACTATATGTATAAGAAGTCACTCCATTTAAATTACAATAAGAAAGCAGCACTTTAATTTTAAGTGAATTATTGGCGAATGTTAAGTAATCCACGGATGTGCTAAAAAACCAAATGCGCACATAAGCGCACGCAGCAATCGCCTTTGAATTGGTTTACACCTCCACAGCTGTTTGGCATAACCACTTTGATAGGACTCAGACTACAATTTGTGGCAATGCGCATAAATTCGAATTATTCAACGTCATATTATGCGACATGCAACACCAAACAGATGACGACAACCGGCGCAGAGGCGGCAGCATTTCAAAAATAATGCAAATTCGCTGAAAATCACGTAAACGCATGCGGAGCGCAGGGACAGCACAAATAAGGAAACGTGCCAAACGCGACTAATTTCGGCTATAAGAACTACGGACAACAATAACAACAAAAGCCAATAGTCAATTGATGGAGTTCACGTCACCTAAATATGGAGGTGTGCGTATGTGTATGTGCACGGCAATGAAATGGTATTGGTAAGCAGCAAATAGAAGAGAGACACCATCGTTTGTAAAGGGGTCAATAGTGTTGCGGAAGATGGAAAAATATTGCAAAACTATAACAGAAATGCTAACCAACACATTGACAATAGCAAACAAGCTGTCGAGTTGCAGCGGATTACAGGTATCTGAGTGACAATGTTAATTTACTCTTGTATGTGTATGTGTGCACGCAGTTTTACTCACTTCACGTCATGTGGCATCGGTAGTGTTGCACCACGATCCAACAGAATTTTCAGTATCTCGTAATTGTTGCGATGCGCTGCCAATATTAATGGCGTGATGTCCGGCGTGAATGTCGACTTATTACGGTCAACAGATTCCCAGCTCTGTAATTAGTAATCAGTACAATGAAAAATAGATTATTTGACGAACAACAAACAGACAAATATAAGACGGACATACATGCTAATTGATTGTGGCCACCAGTGTCACCATAAATGCGGTTGCACAACTCTCTATACTTACATAGGGCTGCCCCTCTTTGTGATGCGTTTCCTCCCACTGCAGTAATTCCTCTACGGCTTCGACGTACTCTTCTGATATGGCGTGCAAGAGCGCGTCGCCCACTTCGATGCCACATTCCAGCAGCACAATGATCAAGTCGAAATTCTCATTCTCAATGGCAGAAATGAGCGCTGAGCGATTGAGCGGATCCACGCAGTTTATGTTAAACTTATCCGGTTGACCCTTGTTGTCCTCAATTATTCTGGTATGTAAAATTCAAGTTATAAAACCATCTGTGAGATTGGTTCAAAGTTATGTTACTCACTTCTTAACACCCTGTATGTCACCACGTTCGGCCGCTAATATGAAATTCTTTTCAATCTCATTTAGCATATACTCCTCTCCCATAGAGATGTTGTAATTGGGTTCACCCTGTTCAGGGTCATCGTCCTTCTTTTGTGACATTTTGATGTGCACATATAATTAGTGAGTGTCTTAAAAGTACCGCAATTTTTAGTTACTTGGAAATTTATATAAGCCTACAAGTAAATAAGAAAAATTATACATCACTGGATATCGGACTGAACCAATCTATTTCAAGAGATTGAGTTCTAATTCCGAAATTATTTTTTTCATTTCTCGAAGTTAGCTTACAAAATTGAGGGTAACCTCCTTCGTATAATTTCGTCATTATAATAGGGGCATTCAGACCGAACTTGTTAATATGGGAGTTCGTTAGTTGATACTTCGCTAAAACACTTAATTGTGAACGTAATTTTTGCTGTACATCAGTAGTGGGTGTAAGGTTTGTTTCAAAACAGCTGATCAATTATATTAAATACTTATGTTTGAAAAATTTTTTAGAAACTAATTTATAGTAGACAGCAAATGGATTTTTTTTCGTTAACTTTTGAGGCAAGAACGCAAACAAAACAGCTGAGTGATGTTAACAAGTAACGAAAAAACTATCTTGCTTGCCAGTCTGGTACTTCGTTACTCGGTAAAACGATAACCTGTTAAGTTTACAGAAACCAAACCCGCGTAAACAAAGCTGGTCTCAATACCCCTAATGTAAGTTCCAAACATAGTAAAAATGTGTTTTATATCATTTGAATAGTATTTTTATGCCCTGAACTGGTTATATTAAATGGTTATAAAAGGACAATAGTGGTCTATTAAAGAATTACGGGAAGAAACAGAAAGCAACCATATACAGGGATACCTGGTCTTGTTGACCTTATTTATTAATTCCATCGTAGCTAACAATTACAGAAAGGCTTTAAGCTCACTATCAAGTCATTCGCACTTGACCTTAATTTTTGTTCTCACAGGAACATTTTAGGTAACGAAAAAGCTAAAATTAGTAGCCTCTAAGACGAATCCGAAGTGAAGTTAACGCCATATGCGCTGGGAACGATCAAAAGAGAATTTTATACTCAATTTCAAGAAATCAGTGACAGTGGAAATCAATAACCAACTGTAATATAATGAAACAGACATGGTCCATATATGATATAACTGCAATCAAGGTCTTATTACGTAGGGGAGAGAATAGTGTGGCTGTTCGGAAAACACGCGCTAAAAATGGGTATGCTCTAAAATAAAGTGTTTCGCAGCTGCAAGCTAGAAAGAAATAACGAAAAAAATTTTCACTTTCTCTGTGAATGCCCATTTATAGCACAAATCAAACACAGAATATTTACAATCAGCAGAGACTACGGGTATGTCATTAAATTCGAATAAATTGAATATTCTTATTGAACTCAGTCTTGCATGGAAATATATTTGAGGAGTTAAAAACATACTATTTACCAAAGAATGCATCTACGTACGTTATGTATCTAAATATGGATTAGATGGTATACTCAATAGAGCCTTTAAGGAAGCTGTAAGCTCAAAACATCAAATGTTTGCTAAAATGTACAAAGCTTGAAAAAAGGAAAAGGTAATCCCCGACTCGTGAAGAAAACAACGAAACCACTTGAAGAACTTTTATCGTACCGACCTCTGTGTATTCTCGACACAATGGGTAAAGCGCACGAAAAAATATCACGAAATCGCGTAGAGTTAGCTATCCAGGAAGCCGGCGGGTGGTACAAAAAATACTGCGCGCCGATGTTAAGAATGCGTTCAACACGGCAAAATGGCCACACATAATCAAGGGCCTGGTTTAAATACGCGCCCCTGAACACCTCATGAACATTATCACGAGTTATTTCAAAAACAGAAGACTAATTTTTGATATAGACGAAGGCATCAAGAACTACTCTCTTTCGAGTGGAGGATCAGTCTGCACTGTTATGGAACCTCATGTATGACGGGGTGGTAAGAAGAAATGAACTAAAGACATGAAATTTATAGCATATGAGGACGATATCTTCGTTAGTCGACCGAAGAAACAAATGCAAAGAGTGCTTAAATTATCATTTTGCGAGTAGAGCTCAGCATAGGGAAGTACGAGATTGCCTCACAGCCGCAGCTGAAGTATCGGGGAGTATAATTGAATTCCAAAATTAAAACTAAAGAAACGCCTAGCGTATATTTCTGGTGAAGCCAACAAAATTTATAAGGCTCTATCAATAGTGGCAGCGTGCGTTCCAGCCGGCGATTTGTAATAGTGAAATCAATGAGTTCCGTAATACTACTATAAGCACTGGATAAAAAATCTTATGTTAAACAAATAATTGCAGTACATAGGCTTTTCTGACAGAAGAGAGAAACAAGTTGGTTAAAATGTTGCAGCAGTGGTGGCAATCCTCATCTAAAGGCCGCCACTCGTGAATAGATAAACGACATGGGGTCTGGATTTCCATCTGACTCAAATACCTAATGGACAAAGCACCCATTCTACCATTACAGATTTCACAATGACATTAGTCCGAACTGTCCGACGTGTATAAAGTATATAGAGGACTCTGAACATGTAAGCGAAGCGATCGTCAATCCGCAGAACAGAGAAAGCTTAAATGTCCTGTCCCCTCACGAAGTAGTTTTTAGCAATAGGTTCCGTGGGAGAGTCTTGAGTTGGGTGTAGTCAGGTTTAGCGGAATATAATTCCGGCTTTCTATGTTGTTTTAAATGGAGGACATTCTCGAAAACGACCACTATTACCAAATAATTTTAACCAAATTATATGAGTAGTTTTGTTTCCATTATTTTTTAAGAAGTGACATCGCATACAAAAATCAAAGTGTCAATCTCGTATTAGCAAATTACTTATTAAAGGTGCGCGAGGTAGCAGTCATCTAAAAACACAATGTGGGACACATTCTCTATCAATTATTGGGTATGATAAAGCTGTCCGTGCGATGGATGACACATATGCTCGCTACTGACACCAGTTTGCAATTCGAAAGTTTTGATCTACCGGGAGAATGATGCCTTTATTTAAAAATATATGGGTCGGTAGTCACTAGTGTCACAGAACATTTAAAAAATCTCTTGTATCCAAATATGTCAGTAAAAAGCTCTTACACTGTAGAAGTTTTCTTTCACATTATTTCTTTAAAAAATACAGTTAACTTTAATTTTTGTGTTCGCATTTATTTACTGTTATATAACTTCTTATTCTTCTCACGAAATAATACTTCACACCAATGATACACAGGACATCAGAAGTCCTTCGAAAGGTTTTTCTTATATTTTTCGTTTATTTTATTGGATTTTTTTAGTAAATAGAGCCTCTAAGGACATTATCACTTTAAATAATATTGCATTCACATTTATTAAAGTATAATACAAGTTTTTTTTTCTTTCATGGCAGCTGAATCCATTTTTAGTAGACATCTGCAAAATTTCGGATCTTCAAATAGGTTGAAGGACACCTTTACTACTTTTCAAATGTAGTAACCCCAAAACCTTGGTAAAGGATGCGCTGTGTTTAGAAGAATAATTGAATTTGGTTTTAAATGTTTTACACTTAGACTTAGTTTCTTCAATTATTATTTCTTCACAATCATTAATTAGATTAGTGCCGTGTACAAAACGATCGATATTTTCACATTAGAATGTAAGTTCTCACAAATTTTAATTCTTTGCACTCTGCACTTTCTGTTCCCATAATCCTTCCCCGTATTATCCATCTAGTTGGTAACCTTTCAAGGATGCTTTACCCTTTTAATCCTTGATGAAATATACTCTTTGTATATCCTTTGAAACACCTCTATTATTTTCCAGTTTCTCTACTATCCATTTTCATAAAATCCCGCAGGTTAGTTGTTGAGAGTTCAAGAATTCGCGAAGAACTGAAAATAAATTGTTCTAACGCCTTGGTATATGCCACTAATTACATTAACGTTTCGACAAAAGTCGGTCATGGAAAGTATAGCAAAAATTCAATCGATCATTGCAATAGACTTCAAGTTAACGGCTAGTAAAAACATAAGAAGAAACAATACAAAATAGTAGCAATAAGTGAAAGCTTGCAGCAAAACAAGGTAAAAAACCAAATCAGCTGTTTAGAATTTTTTTACATAATATTGTCACGGAATGCGTTAAAAAAAGGCATGTGACTATTGACTCATTGATTTGGTGGCATGTATTGATTATCGGCTTGGTTGGCTATTCAACTGTCGTAAGCACGTGAGGTGTTCAAAAGCAAAGGCGTTAAAGAAGATACGGCCAAATGTGCGCACCGGGCTGAGTAGGTGCGAACGAACGGTAATTCAATTGAGGAAAGAATGCATATGTAAATAAAAAAACTAAAGTAGTTATGTCTCATATTATAAATTATTTTATTCTTGCATTACCATTTGCAGAATTTTATGAATATAAAAATCGGCTGAAAAGCAAAGTACAAAGAATCCAATAACTATTTAGTTTTTCGTATTCATAGCAAAATATTTATTATTAGTTCAAAGATACACATAGATTCAGTTTTCAATGAGCAGTACAAATTTCTTCAATTGCCGTGTCATTATCAACTTAGATTTCCAAAGTTTTGCCCTCTAGACATATGTATGTTTCCATCTAAATATACTTCCACTTAAAAATAATATTCTGAATTGTGTATATATATTATCGAATTTGTTAATGCCCCGTCCTCTAATATATTTGCTGTACATGGGTCACAAATTACTGCTGCAAGACCAGCTATATTAGCCACACTTGATAGAAATATCGCCATTGATTTGACGAGAAATAGGTATTATTCTAAGGTTCCGATAACCCCATTTATATAAAATGGTTGACATCAAATCTTAGATACTTTCCGTAATTTCATCAAGTTTATTTCAGCATTCATTCTGTTGCATTTGAACTTTTGCGTGGCAAGTTTCTCTTTTTCAATAAACTCTCAAATATTCCATCATCTCATTCATTCTGTTGCCTTTTATCTTTTTGGTTTGAGTGGCAAGTTTCTCTCAAAATTTTCAATACAGTCATGTCTACTAACCACTCTTTATCATTCATTCATTCATTCCCTTGCATGTTAGCATTTTGATTTGAGTATCAAGTTTCTCTTTTTGAATAGTTCTCTCTCCTTCGATAATTTATTATTGTGTACTTTAAAATAATGTCAAAGGCTTTGGCCATATTTCGTTATCCTTATACCACTCGTCATTGTTCTTATTTGTTGACCAATATTCTTCATTAAAATTGTTAGACCATCCGTCGTTGTGATTGGGAGGATTAGAAAAAGCACGACCTATAATTGACATAAGCGCCTGATGCTCCCTCTCCATAAAGCTGTCACGGCTGTCAAACTCAGATCTGCTCAGCGGAAAGTCGTCGTCGCCGGAAAAATTATCGCCTGTAGTTGGCATCGCTACGTTGTCATTTTTCTCGAACAACGGTTGCAAGTTTTGCCAGTAAAATTCTGAGCTTTTTTTATCCTGAGCGGAGGCTTTTTTATCCTGATGCTTCTTCTCATTATAACTGTCATCATAGTTTTGAAAATCTGATTCTTTCAATGGAGTGTCAGTGCTAGAAAAAATCCAACTGGGTATCTTGGCAGCGGCCACGTTATCTTTATCGTCAAAAATCTCTTGTAAGTTCTGTAAGTTAGATTCTAAGGATGATGAAGTGCTGTGCTCCTTCTCAGTATAACTTTCGTCTTTGAAAGTCGTCAAATCAGATTCTCTCAGTGGAATGTTAAAGGTAAAATTTTGATATATTGTCGACATCGATCCGAATTTATCTACGCCGAACATCGGTTGTAAGTTTGATGATTCTATGGGAGTGGATGTGCGAAATCCAATGTAACTAGCACAGCTATTATCTGTTTTGTTTAGGTCTTCAATTGAGCTCATACAACTGTAATATTTAGTAGCTTCCTCCATTTCGTTGTTGCTCTCATTAAAACTGTGCGATCCAAGTTCTCCCTTTGAATAGTTGCTGCTACATTTTTTATCGTTTGGTCCCTCAGGACCATCGTAGAATTCCTCCAACCCTTTTACTATACTATCATCATACTGCTCCGGTAATGAAAGAATTATTGCATGGTTATATTCTCTTAGCAAATCCATTTCCGTAAAATATATTCTTTTATAACTTGTGCTGTCGAAATATTTTTTTTGAAATGCCGCAAACTTTCAGGCGACCACTCTTTTATACTGTTTATGTTTCCAACGACTAGTCTTCAGGTAGAAGAAATGTTAGCGGTAAGAAGCTCAGGTAGAGCGATATATCTGCTGTACATTAGAAAAATATAGTAATTAGCTTTCCGAAAAAAACTCGTTGTTAGCTTAGAGGCCAAACATAACTGAAAAGATGGTTGTTGTGTTTTAACAGCGAATTTCCCAAAATATTTGTATTGTCTTTTGAAAGCGTGTTACAATTATTTTTTCATAAAAAGTAAGTATTTCGTGGAAACTCTGTTTTGAAAATCGTGGGAGGCATGCATACACACATAATAATGAGGAATGGTTGAAGAGTTTGGGATTTTTAAAATACTTTAGTTTCATTGTTAAAGTGAGTGTTCTGTTAAGGGGAGATAACTTTTAAGTTTAAGTAAAATTCATAAAAGAAAGTACGCGGATACCACATTAAACCTAAATCTATCTTGTATCACTATCTTCAATGCTACCAAGTTTTACTGTGCATATTTTAAATCAATCTTACTATTGTGAGTGACAAATGAAAATATAAACCTTATTTTAGTTGGGTTATTAAAATTGCGCATATGTTAGAAAACATGCGAGCGCAGGGTTGCACCACACAACCACAAAAGCGGCCTATTTGTGCGCACATCTCGTATAGTTTGTTCGATTGACTACTCTCCAACGCTTGGCGAATCGAAAACAACTAATTTGATTCTTATATAGTTTAGGTAAGTTTATTTATTAAACAAATACATTTGAGGGATTGGAGAAGATTATTGTGCAACTTACTGTGGAGAATATAATAATAACTTGGGATACAAGTAAAAACCAGTTATGAATTATGACTGACTTTTCTCGCAGAAAAACCTAAGGAACAGTACGAAAATTTCAATGAGTGCTGTTAATATGATCCTTAAAGGGTTCATCTGCTTGATCTTAATCAAAAATTTCCCAAATATTATTAATTTGCAGGAAAGTCGCTATGGAAATTTTTAATTTGACAAGATGCCGGCGGTTTGAACACCCGCCTATTCGACTTTATTTTGTTTAGGAAAATTAGGAAGATCGTTTCCACAGCGCGATTGAGAATTACGTTGAAAATGTTTCCTCCAAATTGGAACTAGATATCTTCAAAACTCTGCCTTTGAGAGTGGAAACTGTTGTGAAAACCACCATTCTGAGGGAAACGCGTTTACAGATTGTAGTAATAACTTTTCCCCCACTGTTCTCTTTCCACAAGAAACTAGCGATCGTAATAATTGGAATTTCGATTACAAAAATTGAGAGAGTGTTTATTACATTTTATACTATCCGATAATAATCGACTTTTCGCAAATTTCACACTGAGACGATCCATTAATAGCTTAATAAAGAAAAGCTTAAACTTCATGCTATACGCGGAGACAGGGATTTTGGCTGATATTTAGTCAGCACTTAATGTCTCCTTAGCTCTCTTCTCAATAGTGGGTGAAAGTTTCCTATTTAAGAGAGTGTTTTAAAAGACAAAGTTCCCAATTTCATCGAACAAGAGTGAATAGAAACTTGAAGATACTTTTTTAAATAAAATAAGCTCTTATTTTAAGTATTAAAAATATTTAAATCTTTAATTTCTGTAATCCAAATATACTTTGTTCCATATATAATATAAATTATAGAAATATATAAAATTTAGTTCTTCTGCATTCATTCGAAAGTAAAGGTTTTGGCTGAAAGTACCATAAAAATACTACGAAATTACAATTGACAATAGTATATCATATTTTGAATGAAGACAAATAAGAAAACCTATGTTTAGTCAATAGGAAGCCATAGGAAAGGTTAAACCGCATGAATTTTACTCACGTGCCCCCTGAGGTTGTAGTCGTTTGTTTGCTGGGATTTTTAGTGTAGGTCGCAAATAATATAAATCGCATACGCATCGCATATTCTGCTGACTCTGGAGATTTCAGACCATTGTTCACTGCTGCAAAATAAAATCATTCAATTTCTAGAGATAATTACAGTAATCAATAATAATCGACAAATGCTGCCACACATGATGAAACAAAGGGGTTGGTTATGTACCGCTTTATGTTTCATAAATTAAAAAGTATACAAAGCCAAAAGGACGGCAGAGCAAGAGTCTATTAACAAAGCTTTGCTAGGCTCAGAAATTTCGCAAAGACTGTAGTGGCGTTTTTCCCAGGAAAAGCGGCAGTGAATGCATACATTTTACGGAACAATTATAATACGATCAATTCAATACACATACATATTTATCCTATCACTCTTTTATACTATTGTCTAAATGGAAATTTGAAATTACTGTTACGCCCCTTCTCGACCTTACCTAATATACATTTTTTTAAGGTTGCATAAAGATAAAAACTATTAATTATTTAAGCAGTACGTACCTGTCCATAGGCAGGTAGGGCAGCGTTTCAGTCTTGTGACAAAGTTCATTGAGTAAAATATTTGTGACCTAGATGACATTATGACGAACAATGGACAGATTTAGGAAAAAGAAAATATTTAAAAGAATATATGTTAATATTGTGTATTAAATAAATGTCAATGCTTCCATAATTATGGAATAATATATTTGCACTCTTTAAAGTTAGTTTTTGTTTTTTTTGCTTTCATTTCGAAGCTATGTCAGAGGCTTATAATTACATTATATGCTGGTTCCAAAAATTAAAGAAACATAT